ATCACAGAAAAAGATGCCGGGGCATAATGTGTTTCAATATGACATTTTGTGCATAAATCATAACAAACTGTCTCTGAATGACCATCACGGGATAGTGATATTTGAGCTGTTAAACTCTTAAACCTCCTCATTTGCCATTCAAGGATTGATATCAGTAATTACATCCAGTGAACCCTCATATTTCTCACACTTGCATAGTGTGATCCCATCGGAACATCCATTCAAAATTTATTAGAAGATTTACCTCCTGGAAAACTCTCTGATATTAAAATTTAAAACTTTCCATTTTGGCTGTTAGCAGATACGATTAGCCAAAGTAACTTACAGCTACATTTAACTTCGCTACAAAAAGAACAAAATATCAGTTAACAAATGGAAAAATCTAACTCACGCGTACAAACCATGACTTTTGTCTCTGCCATGTCTCACTCTATGGCTTCACTACTGTTCTGCATTTCTGGCTTGCATCAGATTCAAAAAGCAAAATTGAACAAAGGGAAAGAAAGCTATTTCTGTTTTTGGTTTGTGTTCCTTAAAATAAACTATTCAACAGAAATGCTTACTTAGAGGAGCAAGCAAAAGAGAGATCTGGGGATTAACATTAGTATACAGGAATAAATAATAGGCTCACGCCCACACTGTATTTCCCAAAGTTTTCAGTTTTATAACCTCATAATACCTTGTGATGTATCAGCATGCTTATAATATAAGTTGCAGGATAAGTTGTGCAAGGAATTAGGATTAGAAGGATAACATTATTATGCCATCCCATGGTTATGTAAATGGAAGAACTTTCAGATAAGAAATGCCAGCCTTGTTCTTCCAACAAGCAAACATAATTTTTCTATAAATACACCGCAAAACAAATGTCCGGATCATCATTTTTTCACAACCGTTGCAAACGGAAACAAAATATTTCATATGAAATTTCTCATAATTATACTTCACATTATCTTACTCGGAAAAGGATGAATACTAGGATACAATAATGTGATAGGCCTTGAAAAGAATTGGTTGTTTTACATAAACTGTGTGATTGCATTTATATAGAGTAATTAAATTTTGTTTCAGGATGGAAAGCATGAGCTTATACTTGAATAGTTAGGAGCGTGGTTCAATAAAACATATATATCGTCCATATGTTTCAAACTTAACCTTCCTTTTTTTTCAATGATGGGTATCTCCAAGTTAGAAACTTTCAAAATTGAACGTATTGCATAGAACTTAGGGCTCAGATCCCGGAAAATCCCACAAGGACACTTTATTGAAAAAGCAGGTGTAGCCACAATTGGCACTTGAACAGAAAATAGATAATGTCAAGATTCAGCCCTGCCGGATGCAACCTGCAATCCGGCGGGCACTGGGACCATGGACCCAAAAGCTGGAAAAGGGACCCACACGCACAGGCTGAGTCAAAAATAGAAAGACTTTTAATAAATCAAGTAAAAAACAATAAACAATACTACCAAACATCAGGGGAGCAGCAGCACAACACAACAGGGCTAAAAATCAGAATGCTGCTGCAATCCATACTAGCACAGCCAACCCTTAAATAACCCACCCTCACCTCCACCTCAACGAGCCACACCTGTAGCTCGTTAAAGTGGAGGTGAGGAATGCAGCAGGGGAGGGACTGCAAGGGAAAACCCTTACAGATAACACAAAAGGTGCGCAGCCGAAGAGTTACCAGGGGGCAGTCCGTGGTCAGGCAAGGGATGTATAGCAAAAAAAAATTAATCCAGCACTCACGGATCAAAGTAAAGAAACTTTATTTCTGCCCGGGCAAAGAAAAAGTTTTTTACGTTTGATCCGTGATTTCTGGATTAATTTTTTTGCTATATGTCTGCCCTGACCGTGCACCCGATAAGAGACATCGTTACTTTTTTATAGAGTGCTCGCATTTTCAATTTATTCAGGCAAGGGATGAACATAGGAGGCTGGCAAGCCGTGGTTAGAAGACTGATCTGAGGTCGGTATCGGGAAGACTATCTATGGGTAAGAGGTCAAGCTGAACTGTGCACACTCTCAAACCTCAAGGCTAGGAGTAACTGGAAGGCACACCACTTTAGGAGCCGCGTGGCACTGGGAGAGCAATCCTGAATAAATAGTAATATGTTTACTTTTAACTTCAATTCTGCAGACGGATGTAAGAGCACTTAGACAAAGCTAAACATTAAGCACAATAAAAATGTAACAATCCAGCTTAGAAAAGACAAAAAAACAAAAAACAGGAACTTAAATACGCAAAGACCATGGGCTGATGCTTCCATAACGAAAAGACACAGAGGGAGGGATGTGAAATGAAACAGTAATCAAACAATTAATGAACCAAGACTGGAACTGACACAGGCAGCTGGACTGCGGGGACATACAGCTACAAAAACAGTATGTGAGTGTTGGAGGTAGGTTAAAAAGCCACTGGGGGAATTATCACAAATTTGTGCATATGTTCGTATATCTCGGTGTGTGTCTTTGTGTGCGCGTGTGAGTGTGTGCATGCGTGTGAGTGGTGGGGCCGATGTGAGGAGGGCATGAATTTATACACAATGTAAATTTAACCCATCATGAAACGGCTGATATTTAAATGTCAAGACGGCTTGTTAAACAAGGGTCTGAAGCGGGCTTTGAATGAGTTCCTGGTACCGTGATGCTAATTTGCAGCCTATTTGATGGATGACAAATTGGCCCATTGTAATGGGAAGCCCTGAAGAGGAAGCCAAGCTGATGAAAACACGTACAACTAGGGCCACTACTACTACTTCTTCTTCTTCTTCATCTCTTTCTTCTTCTTCCTTAATTAATCAGAATTCCATGAAGCACTCGACCGGCAGCTTCAGTGCAGTGAAAGCTTCCAATTTGACACTAAAAATTACAAATTAAGTTTATATTATCATTCATTAAGATGGAGAGCAGTTATTGGGTAACAAAAAAAAATTGACTTAATTTATTGCTGAAGGGGTGGAAATATTGGACTATTTGTGTAAGAGGTAATTTATAGTTTAATTATGCAAATTGAATAATATCCTTAGTAGTGAGTCACTGCTATTTTTCATGAAGCTAATTAATAAAGTAGGTTGTATGCAAAATATGTGATCATCCAATCATAATGCCTTTAAGTGCAAGAGCACAAATGTACAATATGCATTGAAGTAGTTTTCACAATGTAATAAAACAATAATAGTTGCAAGTTTCCATCAAAACCAATCTAAAACGTGTGGCCTGAGATAAAAGTTGCGTTTTTACCTTAAACATTGACTATGACATTCAGCACCATTTTACATTTAGAACAACCATTTTAAATGTCTAAACAGAGTATCACAATTCATTCTATGCTACTACTTCTACTTTCTAGCTATTATACCTGCAATTTAGAGACTGAAGCCAGTATTTACATAAGCCCTGAAACTTGTATTTCACTCAGAGGGCTCAGACATTGGAATTTTCCCCAAATCCTCAAATCAAGTGGTTACCAGAGGAACGCAGTTTACTGTAGGTTGCTGCTGAGCATTGGATACTCAAGTGGAGGGCATTCCCTCCTCCATTTTATGCTGTTTTCTAGAGCATGTACTTCGAAAAGGACCACAACTACAAAAACATTGAGCACTGACCATTGAGCAGCTCCCATTGTAATAAACGGAACCAGTGAGTGAAAGCGGTCTCCAGTTCTTACGTGTATATCTAAATGATTCCATCAGCTTTATACATATACTGTATGTTGACTAGTGCTTTACTGAATGCGCAACTGAACGAATCTGCACCACTGCAGTAGTTTCTATTATAATCTGATAATTCAGTAGGAGGGAAATGTCATGTGGGAGAATACAAAGCCAGCAGTGCGCGTCACCGATGAGGCTATTCGCTGATGACTTCAACGTCAAGATTAGTGTTTGAATTCTCTAATTGTGCATTTCTCAGTGAAAAGAAATATTCAAGTCGTTCATTATTACAACGGCATCCTGAAAAAAATTTAAGCCCAGCCATTTTGATGAGTGCTTTTTTCTTTATATTATTATTATTCATAAACCCCCGGAGTGTCCCTGAGGCTGTAACAAAAGCCAATGATTAGCCACAATCAACTAATTAAATTCAGACAAACCACAATTTGTTCATTCAAGTTGTACAAATCACAGCCTGAAAAGATAAGACTATTTCATTCTGAGAGGCACAGAATGAACAACATTACAAAGCCCTCTGTGTACAAATAAGCAATACTTGCCCTGTAAACAGTGCACAGTTGGAGATTTTTATTGCACAACAGGAAGATTTACAAAGCGCAAAGTCGGAAAAGCACAGAGAGTAAGTTTGACACTGCATCCAAATAGAATTTACTTCAAGCACATCCTGCAATACAGGCTATCAAACTTGCTATTTATATGATTGTTTAAATTCCAACAAAGAAAATACAGATTAACAGCAAGTGTAAAGAATTAAATAACTTTGACTGAAATGCAGTTTTGTGCAAAAAATGTCACGTTTTTTTTCTTGTCTTATCTCAATGAGGAGAACTGGCCACAAATGATAATGTATTATGTTGAGGGATTTCAGAATTCATGCAATTGAAAAAAAATTAATAAATAGATAAAAAATAAATAAAAGACTGAAAACAGGTCAAAGTTCCATCATTAGTTTTAGAGTATTGTCTGTGCGTATATTTCTGGCTCATCACTGCTTCGAACCTTCTGGAGCCATGATTGAGGGTCCATCTTCTGACCAAATTACTAAGGTAGTAGCTGTTTCCTGAAGGATGAAGCAAACAAGAAGGCATGCTAGCTCTGTCACAACGGATATTCAATATCTAAATGCATTATTTTAAAAATACTTAAGATTATCTTGAATATTATGTTGTTTATTAGAAGTGTGCAAATAGTAACATTCTTTCCATGTGTGGCAGGCCAAAGAAGGGCACGGGCGGGGGTTTGAACCCCAAACTCCCGGTGAAGAGTCACACGTGCTGTCAATTGGTAAGAGTCAATGGCGCTGACCACCTTGCCAATGAGCCTGGCTTATTGGCAAGGTGGTCAGTGCAATTGACTCTTACTCAGGAGTTTGCGGTTCAAACCACCGCCCGGGCCCTCCTTCGGCCTGCCAAATTCTGGCGTAATCGGCACGATTCGGGGAATCCCAATGGATGGCAGCATGCGTAAAGCATAGAGCGTTAGGACGTGCTCTTGAAAGAGGGGGAGAGATATGACAGTTGATGGGTCCTGTCACTAGAAATGCCTCCTTATAAGTACGCGTCCTGCCTACCTTGCCGACGAACCTGGCTCTTTGGCGATGTGCTCAGTGCGTGTGCGAATCTTACCAGGGAGTCTGGTGTTCAAAACCCCCGCCCGGGCCCTCCTTTGGCCTGCCACAACATGTGATGAAAAAGTAATAAAATTAGGAGGCAGTCACTTAAATCAGTGATGCGGTATTTTTAGATTGACATAGTTTACGTTCTTTGCGAAAATTCAAGCATCTGGCCAACATGCTACCAAAAGCACTCTCCTCAAGCTGTAGTTGATGGGGTTTTGTTCAAAGACGACAGGCTACTTGATCTCAATGGGGGGAAAAAAGAAAAAGAAAAGAAATTGCCATAATATGTTTCCGGGATGCAGCCACTTTCCTGGCCCATTTGCAGTTTGAAAATATGCAATAAAATATTCATAATGGCTTCTGGAATAGGATATCACTCCTCACAATTAGAGAGGCTTTTTATGCATAGGATTTGTGACCAAATTTGCCATAAGCTTCATAAAATTAGACAGAATGATCCAGCGTATATTAAGTTATATCCATCTTCCAAACAAATGAGATGCATTGAAAATATATGACCAAGCAGAATAAACATTAAGTTGGAAAATTGGTCTAAATATGAGAAAGAGAGAGAGAGAGAGAGAGAGGGAGAGAGAGAGAGAGGGGAATCAGTCAAAATAAAAGTATTCCACTCCAAGCTCATGGTTCTGCTGGCATAATTTAATATACAACGCTTCATATGAAACAATTTGCAAACCTCTGCATCGCAAAAACAAGGCTTTGTACGTTCCGACAAAGGAGGTATAAGCTTGCTTCAGGCCTGAACTCTGACCTATTGCTCTGGCATTCACCTGGTTTTTCAAACTAATATTTAATGACCATATGACTGTGCCTTACAAGCTGCAGGTCAAGTCTGCCTTCAGGGCAACACTGATTTATAATGCTGTTTTGCACTGTGATTCTCTTCCCACTCATTCTCGCTCCCACTCTTCCTCTGTCTTTCCCTCTCTCTCTCTCTCTAGATGTGAACACTGCGCAATAATTCAGGTGAGGAACAGGTTGCATTCCATGTAACACCCCAGGCTAGGAGAAGATGGCTTAGATATACTGTAGGTGGTGTAATGTTAGAAAGATGAGAGGCCACCATAAATGACAGTAAATGATGTAAAGGTAGGGTTTGTGTGTTTGTGTGTCTGAGTGCTATGTGTGTGTGTGTGTGTGCTGTATGCATGTTTGTTATTTCTGTGCATGACACGGTCTCTCTCTCTCTCTCTCTCTCTCTCTACCTCCCTCTCTGTCATGGAGTTTCAAAAGTGGTTTCACACATGCGCAAGTAGATGCACACACAAGCAAACACACACACACACACATGCACACACTCACACACTTATAAATTGTTAAATTAAAGCATTGACTCCTTGTTATTTTAACTGTAAGTAGAGTCCTGTGCGCATTTAACTGTGGTTTACAGTTAAGATATATGGAACCTCTGTTACAACGTATAAACTGATTGTAAAATTACAGTTGAAACAACTGGCAAAAAGGTGCCAGTTTATAACAGTGCACAGAAGTGGATCCTCTCACTAAACTACAGACGAGCTCGGCCATCGACCCTCGCTCAATATATGCTTGCAAATGAATCTTGTTAAAAACATAATGTCTTCAAACAGTGCGGGCCATCACATTATTTCCCTATTTAGAATATTTACCCTCCATTTTGTAAAGTGTCGTGAGGGTAGTGCTTGGTGAACACTCGAATAGAATGGGAATCTTAATAGCAACAAAGGACAGTCAAAAAGTAGCACCTCGCAGGAAGACACTACCACAAGAACCTAATATGAAAAGCCAACTGCCAGGGAATGAAACCCTTACCGAAAAGAGGGGGTCACTCCTGTGGGAACTATCCTGAAAATAAACGATTACAGCTAAGGCTTCAGGAGTGACAAAATTAGTACGTGCCCGAACTTCGGCTCATTCCAAGTGGTGACAAAACAGAAATCAGCGGATAGCACGGGATCCGCGATTCCCAGACTAAAAAGAAAAAATAATAACGAAAGCAGCCTCTCTCTAGTTCCTCCCACGGATAGTGCCCGTGAACCAAGAGAAACGAACGAGACCCAAAACAGACTGCCAGCAGACCAACGAGAAACCAAAGAGAACTAGAACTACCAAAAACCATCTAGTTCCACAGGTGAAATCTCTATGACCTAAGTTTATGGTCTACACAGAATTCAGAGAGCTGACCCTCACTTCAGACGCGCTAGTGAGCCACTGATGCGAACTCGAGCAGAACTGAGAGGATTAAATAAATTCTGTGCAGTTGGTGCGAATCGGCAATCACCACACCTCTCAGAACAGTCTTCGATTAGCCGAGTAGCACCCCAACACATTAGCACTGGGACGATAGACCAAACAAAACTGGACCCATGACACATTTTTATCACTATTCATTCCTTTTCTTTTAATTCATCCATGTCCATTTCTATCCACCATCTCTTACCCAGATTTTGTTCATCTTTTTCCCGCGTATGATCCATCCATCACTGTTTTCATGACGCATGAATGGTGCAGTACCCGTTCTGCAGGGATTACTGCACTGATGCACGTTGCCATGGCATCTATCTGCTCCAACATATGTGCTGTGAGAATTTATAAAAGTGCATGGTTTGCGCAATTAAGCATCTGTGACATTTAAAAAAAAAAAATTACACCTGTCCTCATGAAGGTGATCTATTCCATTACACAGTGCAGAGCTCATCATAACAAGATTTTGATTCAAGACTCCGATCTGCGTGTAGCCAGACATTACACAAGACTCCCATTTTACCTCCATTATCAGCCATCAATCCAATGAGATGGATTGATGGCTCATAATGTTCTGGCACTTACATTAAACCGATCTTCTTTAAACGTCAGTGCATCTTTTATTGATTGCTCCTCAGAGAATGGCACACTCTGTTGAATGTGACATTTCATAACATCACTGCAGCTCATAATGATCACGTATCTTCCATTGTGTGCCATTCTAATGCATGAAGGCAAAAGCACATATAAAAGGCTCGTTGATAGACCATTTACACACTGATAAATGAGAGTATGACACATCAAACTGACAACATTGACAGGGAGTTTGCAAGCAGTCTAGCTCCTTAGTTAAGATATAATTTTTTCTATTATTTTAGTGGCATTGTAAATTTCTAGATATCTTCAATATTGAGACAAGTAATCTCATAGAGCGTGAGAATTAATCCATGGGAATTAAAAATCTGAAATAAACAAACAAGACAGTTGTTTGAACATAAAATGGAGCCACATCCTTATAGTCATGGCGATCTGACAAGGCAACACTCCTAAGCGCATAAAATAAAATTCAGCCAGCAATCATTTTTTGGTCTCACTTTATGTTATGGCTTGACATGTTTTAAATATTTTTCAAGCACGCTCTTATGTACAGATGAGCTTGTCTCGTTCCACTCCCCATGTTAATTGTTTTCCTTGCAATACAGCCGTGTGTAGGGGAGACTGGGGTCCGATGAGCCATGGGGACCAATGAGCCATATCAGTATTTTGCGATCAATCGATGCCAAAGGTGTTTAAAATAGGCAAAATAGTGATATGGCTCATTTATCCCCATGACTCATCAGTCAACGGTCAAATATTTTGCCCATTTTAAGCAGCTCTGTCATCGATTGATAACAAAATAGTGATATGGCTCATTGGTCCCCATGGCTCATCGGATCCCAGTCTCCACTATCTGTTTTTATCTTTTTTCATTAATTGATTTTCGTTTCTGAATTACTGTCTCGTTACCGTGCCCCTCTTCCTGTGTATTTTTCACTTCCTGTCCCTCACATGTTGCTTATTGTCTCAGTGTATTTAAGTTCATTAGCTTTGTCTCTTCCTTGCTGGATTGTTGCACTGAGTTAAGTGTTTTGCATGGTCTAGTGTTTTGTCTCCTACACCCTTGGTGTAAACTTCTCCCTTTCACTCAAGAAGCGATTTATCAGGGAATCTGATCCTGGATTGCGGCTTCTTCTGGACTCTTCTACACCTCAGTTTGAAGGTGCTTGTCTGGTTGCAAGTCCTGGTGATTCAGCTTGCCGTCCCAGTTACTGACCTCGGACCTGCTCACTCGACTATGCCTTACCTATCCCTTCCTGTACCCAGTCTGCCCCAGCCTGACTCCGGAGTCTCTCCTGACAAAGCTTTTCAAAGTTCTTTTGAGTTTAAGTTTTCTTTGGAAAAAAATAAAGCAGCCATTTGGTCCTTCTGTGATCTGCATCTGGCTCTTAATTTTGACTGAAGCTGCTTTCACACCAGACGCGAAACTAATTTTTCGCACGACAGATTACATTCAAAGTCAACGCAAAGATTCGAATACACACGTTTTGCGTGTATTCGCGTCTTTGCATTGACTTTGAATGTAATCTGTCGTGCAAAAAATTTGTTTCGCGTCCGGTGTGAAAGCAGCTTACTTGTGACAGTGGTTGGGTGAAGCTGGCTGTGGCATAAACTCCACTGTTCAGTAATTATATTTATCTGTTAAGGAGAGATCAGGTGGACACCAGATGCAGGATCCAAAGGGTTTATTAAAACACAAAACACTAGGAGAAAATTGGCAAACAGGCCAGAAACAAAACACCGTGCACATACACTGAATGATTGGGAAAACTAAGGTACACTGCCAAAGGCAGGGGGAAACAGAAGTACTCACTCCAGGAGTGGATAAACTAGAAAAACAAAAACTGGACCTAACTAGACTGATGGACACACTGGGAGACTTAGACAAAGGACAGACAAGACGTGGGCGCAGCAAAACACAAGGCTCGGGAATCACA